TCCGCTCGGGGACGTAACAGCTTTAGTTCTTCCCAAACTGTTCTTATCCACGAAGGATTTCACCTCTGTATATTTGTGCCCTTTACAGATCAAGACTGAAACCAGGAGCTGCTGCAGTTTCCAACAGTCAATCCTCAGGTATTCCTAAAGCAGGAATTTCCAAGCAGGGCGTTGTCAGGCCTGGAATCATCTCTGCAATTCCCGCTTTGAGACGTTCTGGTTTACAAATGAAACAACCTAAAAGTTTTCACGTGGCTGTTTCTAAGGCAAAGATTCCAAGTGGGAATAAGAGACTATAAAGTTAATGGAAGAAAAGGCTTTAAGCAGCTGGAGCACCGCCTGCATCCCTGTGATCCTGCACAATTCCGTTGTTCCGCAGGGATCGTAACCTCACACACTAACGAGAAAATTAATCCTTGCTGCAAATTAGTGCCCGAGATCAGGGTGCTTACAAAACACCAGCTGATTAAAACCCACTTTTCCATGAGCTTTTATACTTCCAGGAGTTTTGGATGCAGAACTGAAGGACACAGGAAGCCAAGGAACACTTCGAAGGATACAGCGCCTGGGAGAGGCAGAAGGAGAGAGGGGGTGAAAAGGAATAAAGGTGGAATTAAGGGGGTAAGAAGTTAAGGATTTTCCACCCTGCATTCTCCCCATCTTTGCTGATCAGTAGGAAAGAAACACCACTAAATGAGCCACTTTATACCTGACCTACCTCAGCTGGAAAAATACCTCTTACCCCAGATGTTAAGACCAGGCTGGGAATAAATAGAGCTATGTCTTCTGTTGGTGCCATTTTAAGCACACTCCAGTTCTTTTCCACTTAAAAAAAAAGACGAAAAGAATTAACTGAGGCTCCAAGGATCACAGAAATAGAGCTGGCAAGGGCATGCAGACCTTGCAGCACATCCCCTGCTCTGAGGCAGGTCAGTGGAATCGTCCTCTGCAAGAATCAAGACAGGCAAGAAAACCACTAAATTTGAAATGGGAGATGAAAAATCAGCTGTCCTCACATCTGTGTCAAAGTCCATGAACTATTCACTAGCTCTGCTTCTAAATATTCAAAAATCTTCATCACTGGGTAGTTTGTTTATATCAGTTCAATGATTTCCAGTTGGTGAAACTTGGCATGTTGATGGATTACTTCCCTCACACTGGAAAAAACCAAATTCTCTATTTCCCCCTCCTCATCTCCCACCTACACAGTGGCTACACCCCTAAGTCCCTACTGCTGCTCTTTTTTGATATGGAAAACGGGAATGGGAGCTGTGAGACAGTGCAAAGGAACAGCACTTTATCTCCCCTGTCCATATGGTGGCTGCATCATCTCATTTTGAGAGAGTTTGACCTCCAGTATAATCCCAAAAGACAACTCAGAGGGACCCATTCAGCCCTCAGCCATGTCTGGCTCCCCGTCCCTTAAAGCCTCTTTGATGCCCAGAATCATTTGCGAGGTCCCACAAAAATCAGGGCAAGGAAAAAGAAGTGCTGACAGTTGTATTTAACTGCAAAAAAGGTTGGGAATCATCAATATTAAACTGCTTCTCTTCATCGGTGACAAAAGCTTTCGGAGCATCCTCCCAGGCTCCAACAGGCCCCCGAGTTCCATGTTCTCTGATAAAAACATTTGCCTACCAAAAAACCTGCATTAGGGCAGATAAAACCCACTGCTTGCACAAGCAAATCCTTCAAGGCCAAAGGAATATTAAGTGCAAAAGAGACAGAAGGTAATTCTTTGTAGCAATAATAATCGGAGAGATGGGTAAACAAGGTCAGGTCCCCTGGGGGAGGAGAGGGGTAATTTGACTTCTCCATCCTCCCAGACTCATTTGGGATTGATGTAACACACGGAACTGCGGCAGCAACAACGCTGCGACATCCCAGTGTTGCTGCATCCTCGGGAATATAGGGAGAGGGAAGTTTTAACAGCGTCCCTGAAAGTGGAATTGCGTGTGTGATGGTTGTTGTCATCAACCAGCCCGTTAACAGGTTACAGAAAATGTTACAAACACCTCAGAGCAGACGGAAGGAATGACCCTCCGGAGTCAGGAAGCGAGAGGCCCTGGACAGCTCCCGGCTCTGCTCCGGCCTGGACAGCTCAGTCCACGGAAAATCCCTGCCCTGGACACCCAGGATCTCACAGCTACATTCTCTGTCATAACTAATATGTCATCACTCCTTTATTGCCCCTTTTAGATGTAAAATAACTCCCGTTTCAGTCCCTGCTACTGCCAAGAGGACGGATGTTAACAGAGCTTGGACTGGTGTCTGTCCTCCATCAAAAGCTTCTTTAGGGATATTTGGGGGTAAAACAATGCTCCAGGCCCCTGGATGCAGCAAACCCTCCCTTCAATGCTCCTGGATTAAAGCAGGCACGGCAGAAAGCTTAAGGAATTATCTTTCCTAGGAGTAAATACACAGGAACTGATTCCAGCAGGGACTGGTGTGCACTGAGGGACCCCGGTGTAATATTTGCCTTTGTTTAATCAAGACTGAAAGAAGGTGGATTGAGATGGGATATTGGGAAGGAATCCTTGGTTGTGAGGGTGGTGATGCCCTGGCACAGGTTGCCCAGAGAAGCTGTGGCTGCCCCTGGATCCCTGGAAGTGTCCCAGGCCAGGTTGGATGGGGCTTGGAGCAACCTGGGATAGTGGAAGGTGTCCTTGCCCATGGCAGGGGGGGGAATGGGATGATCCTTAAGGTCCCTTCTCACCCAAACCTGTGATTCTATGATTCTCTAACCTGCTGATGTGATTTTTCAGCCTTTATTATAATTATGAAGGAACCATACCAGCATAAAGTCTCAAAAAGGCAACTTACTGATCTTTTCAAGCTCACCATAAATAAGCTTTCAAGCAGTTTCTTCAATGAAGCAACCAGTGGCATGGGAAGAGAAGTACACTGAATTTATTGATGGCAAGAACACAGCTACAAGAGTTCCCTATTTCACTTCACTTTCCCTCCTTGTTGTACTGCACCCTTCCAGTACAACCAACCTGAATTTTTCTTCCAAGTTTCAGCAGGAATTGCTGTGAAAAAGTGCTGCTGAAAAACTGTGAGAGTCACAAGATGAATCACACTGATTCTCCTGCTATATTATTTTATCTTTGCAGCAATTAGGGAGGGCTTGGAGCTGAGAGATGCCACTAGAAAAATGTCACAGTGCAAGATTTCACACATTTCCACCACTTCAAAATCTGAGCGCTTCATCCATTTGACTGTGACACTAAATAATGACTAAAAAGCCAAATAATGAAAAACTTCCATCTCCCTGAGCATATCTAAGGAGCAATCTAAGCTGGTACAAGGAATATACTTAGGAAAAACCTGTGGATTTTCATTCTTTTCCTCCCGCTCAAAACTCTGCAGCGGAGACACAGGCCCCTGCACGGGGAATTTGGGTTTGATAATAGGTCTGTTCCCCTCACAGCCTTCACCACTTCTCCAGAGCCATTCAGAAGCAGCCCATAATCCATCCCCTGACTGAAACTCCTGGTTTAAATGCTAATTATACTGGCAAAGGGAGCGCTCCACACCCCCACACCACCAACGCCTCAGAACGGCTCTGGCACCAATTTCGGAGTGTGAACTGCAGCAGGACAGCCTTTCACCCAGGCTAATTTTATGCTGTGAAGTTGTGTTTTCCACCACAGAGTGCAGAGAAGCAACACCCACTTCTCATCTCTTTCCCTCTCCGCGGCGCAAAGCGATTTTCCAAAGATCGGAATAATCGCACCCGGTTTTTCTGGCGCAGGCCGAGGGTCCATAAATTACTGCTCTGCTTCCAGCAGCGGCCATAAATGAGCTGTGAAAGTGAGGCTTTTGACAGTCCACGGGGTTGAACACACAACAAAAATCAGAAAAACGAAGTTAATGCTGGTAATTAGCAGCTAAAAGTGTGATTTTCGTGATAAATAAATCCCTGGGGTGGCCACGCCCGGAGCGATGTGACATTCTCAGCAAGGCCAAGGGTAGAAAAAGGGACAGAGAAAGGTAATTAAAATTACTGCAGCAATGAGGCAGCTGGATCGCAAGAATTTTCCTCTCCATTTGGAGAGGAAAAGCCTTGGGGGATGGAACTGAGGTTTCCAAAATCTCGAGGGTAACAGGACTGAACTGCAGCACAATATTGCACAACACTGGACAAAAGGGTATTAAATGAAAATAGCAGGAAACTGGTAGAAAATATGTTAGAGAATAAGTAAAATCATAAAATCCCAGAATGGTTTGGGTTGGAAGGGACTTAAAGCTCAGCTCATTCCACCCCCAGCCATGGACACTTTCCACTGAACCATCCAAATGAGTCGTTGCAAGTCCATAATTCTTCCAAACAAAGCAAATTTAAGGGTAAGAATCCCAATTTTCTTCTCACAGTGAAAAAGCCATCACATCTGGTTTAAACCCTGGCACAGAAAGGCTCCATAAAGCCAAGGCTTTGTATTATTTAACAAGAACAATTCAATTCCGTTCCTGTGTTGTCAGGAGGAGCATTCAAAGAGGAAAACACATGATTATTCTTTCAGTTCTCAGCCTACAGTGAACTCACCACAAGTACTTCAGAAATACAAATAAACCTAATCTGGACAAATCTCTCATGGAAATTTGAACAGGCTGACAGCAACACTTGCCTAATATCCCGAATTTCCATCAATTTTAGTGATATCACAGAATACCAAGTAAGGAAACTCCTTAAGACTGAAGGGAACTTAAAAGTCTTGTATAAACTAGACTGTAGATATCTGAAGTAGCAAACACATCCAGAGTATTTCACAGTCAGTGATATTAAATTAGGCAAATTCTGCAGTCACAGAATATCTCAGTGTATATATTACAGTACATCCTATGCAAGTGGTATTTGGGTTTATATTTAAATTATTAATTATCCCGATTTTTTTTTATTTTCTAATGTAAGTATCTTTTTGGTTTGGTGGTTTTTTTCTGATTATTTGCTAACTAAAGGACAAAACCATGGGTTTTCCTGGAAAAACCAGCCTTACCTCCATGGCCAAAGCTGCTGTTTGCTGGTCATAGTGGTTGAGGAGGTTGGGCATGAAGGTGGTGTTGTAAGGCAGGTCCTGGCACATCCTCAGGATGATGGGCTCACAGGAAAACAGGCTGTGCCCCCCCGTGAGCCCCACCAAACCATCCAACAGCCAAAGGGAACACAAAATCCAGCTCCCAGCCATCCTTCCACACCGGGAACGGGGCCGGTCGCGGCCCTTCCAGCTCCTTCTGTATCCTCGGGTTTCACCTCGACAACGATATTCCCAGTCCTTGTTTGAGGCTCTTCCAAACTGGAACAGTCTTCGTGTTCAACATCCTCAGCTCAGTCCAGGGGACGTTGTATTTGAGGCAGGTGTGCAAGGAACCTTCCCTTTTCTCAGTCCAATATGCCATGAATTAGTTTAAGTTTTTCAAGCATTTAACCACATTCCCACACGACTGACCCCATGGTGACAGAGGGACGTCCTCCCTTCGATGGGTAACCCTGAAACAACAAACAGAATACACTAAAAACCCCTCGAATTTGATTAGAATATGTTACCTCTAAATTTCTAAGGACTCCTACCGGCAGACAAGCTGCTTCGAGTTCTCCTGTACAAGACTAGAAGGTCCTTCGGCGAGTTTTAATCCTGGTTGGGTTTGGGTTTTTTTTTAACCTCTGGAAGAAATTAATGGAAGATGGAAGAAATTAATGGAAAATGGAAGAAATTAATGGAAAATGGAAGAAATGAATGGAAAATGGAAGAAATTAATGGAAGATGGACGAAATTAACAGAAGAAAAGCTGGGATGCTGAAAGGCTCTACCCAAAAAGGACGATGAAAATGGGGATGGTATTTACCGCGACAGAAGTATTTTGAGGAAACCCCACACTTCAAACCTTAACTGCAAGTGTTTGACCACACTGAAACCAAGCTATTTATGACTCAGCACCTCCTCTGGTGTGTTCACATCGATAGCATCTCGTTATTTGCATGGCCTGATGAATAATTATAAAACACAAACACAACAGTCACCACCAGCACCAGCCCACAAGTCCCAGCTCGCCACTGTCCTGCCCAACAAGCTCCACCACGGTTTGTGCTCAAATGTGCCATTTTCATCTCGTTGCAAACGGCCTTTTTTTGGTCGTTTCTGACCCATTTTCATCCCACACACCCATCCCCTTCTCCAGGAACCACCACAGCAAGCTGAGGATAGACCAGAAGAGTGTTCTTTGACCACCCCTTTCTCCGCGCGCTCCCGGAAGAGGGGAAACCGCGAACGGTCGCTCTGCCAGTTCCACTCTCCCCGTGGAGCCAATTTAAAACAGGAATCACACCCCAAGGCTGGATCTGGATTTCCTCAGCACCAAGGGGTCAGAGTGGAACAAGCAGAATGGGGACTCAGCACATTGTGCTCGTCAGCTGGAGAAACAAACCCTGAAATCGGAGGCTAAAGCGTGAAAAAAAGTACTAAGGGTACAAAGAACAGTAATTTTTAATAATTATTTTGCCTTACCACGATAAACTTTGCAAAATTCGGCCTCTAACCGACTGCTTTAAAGTGAATTGTTGTTAAAAAAGGTAACAAATTTAGAAACTCTGCTTGAACCAGAAACCTCCAAGAGCAGACAACCACAAATCTGAAGAGACCTCCAGTCTTGAGAGAGGAGAGTTTTCCCTTGGATGTTAAGAAAGGGAAATAAATCTACGAGTTTTTCCTTTCTCCCTAAGAGTGAGAGACAGGAAAGAGTTAATTCTCAGATGTCTGCTGGTATCAGTTCTGCACATTTTTGTTTACACAGGCCCATCTTATGGTTAGAAAAATTAAGGAGCATAAAGCTCTTTAAACCTTCGTGCACTGCATAATCTTGAGAGGTTCCTTCCAACCCAAACAATTCTGGGCTTCCCTGCAAGATCACGGGTTTGGCTGCAGGTTTTTGAAGACAGGCTGGTTAGAAACAAATAATGAAAACAGGAAAAAAAAAAAAAAAAGCCCAAGATGATAAACAGACACATGTTAAATTAAGTTCATTGGCAATTTTTTTTTTCAGAGGCTGCTCAGCTCTGTCACGGAGACTGATGGGGAATCCATGGTTGAGGCAGCACGGAATTACATGAAGAATATAAATAGGAAAACTGTTCCAAATGCAGGAAAAATAAAATATGACCGAAAGAAAAGAGAACTACCTACACCTGAAGTGGCAGAACCGACCAACAGAGCTCAAATCACACTTTTCTTGCTCATATTTTAAAGCAAACGTTGCTGTGAAGAGTCAACGCACTGATTTTAAAACACCAAAATCAGCCACAATATTTAAGACATGTTCCATGCAACCACGCCTGATTTTTAGCCCAGTTTCAAGCTCAGATGAGCCTGAAAAGTCCTGATCTGAGGATGCCATTTCTCAGAGTGACTTTCTGGCAATTTGGGAACTCTCAAAAGGAACGAAGAGCTGAACCATCCCGTTTTCCAGGCAGCATCACCAAACCCCGAAGCCTTCGGCATATTCTCCCCTCCTGACCAGAAGATCACAAGTTACAGACAGACAAAACCAATTCCTACTTAGCTTTGTAGGGATGGTCTTTAGGGTCCCTTCCAACCCAAACCGATCCTTGATTCCACGTTGTACAAGGTGCCCAATCCCCTTGGAATCCAGTCCTTTGGTCTGCACTTTTTAACAGTACTTCCTCAAAGTCAGGGAAAGAAGCTTTTTGAGCTTGTTGGATTCCTGTAATTCCTTTTTTTCTCTCTCCCAAACACTTCGACCACCAAATCCTCCGGATTTTATTCCAGAATTTCGGTGAAGTCACCTCACAGTGTGGGATAAGCAAGTGACTTATTTTGCTTGCTTTAATTGAGGTGCCACTGCAGCAGTGATCAGTAGAAAATGCTTCATTAAAGAGGTTCAGAAGAAACATAAAATGAACTGTACACACACCAGTTAAAGTCTGAAGCACAAAAACTGGGAAAATCCAGCTCAGCATCTGGAGTCTTGGGAAAAATTTTCAGGAATACTTCACACATGACACAGAAAGTAGAGACTCCAAAAAAAAAAAAATCCACCTATTCTCTGACTCCCCCACAACCTCAAACTGCTAAAATCATGCAAAACCACAAGACTCAATAAACCAGGAAAAAAAAAAAAAGTTTAACTACGCAAAAAGCAGAAAAACTTTCATCGTGTCCTCTCAGGACCTTTCCATTTTATGCTGATAGCAGCAGAAAGAAAATCAAAAATACATTTACAAGAGACAGAAAAGTACCTCCAATTATACAGCCAGGTCATCCAGTGCCCCTTCCTGGGAAAACAACATAATTCCAGGTGAAATGAAGCAAAAAGAGAATCAAATGATTGCGAAAGGAGAGCCAAGTTTTGCAAAGGAGATATAGATGATCTATTAATTGGTGCAGACAGATGGGTGCTGTAATAAGCAACCCTGAGTGTCAGGAGAGCTTCTTACCACAGATCCAGTTTGTACACTCTTTGTTAAGCCTCTACATATGAGATTTTGTGGTTATTTTTATATGTATATAAAAACAAAACACTTTTGATGACACCGGGGATAAAAAAAGGAGGGGATGTCTCCTCATCCACCCCAAGGCACTGCAAATAAAATGCAGGGAAAAGGGGTAGGAAACAGTAGTTTGTTGGTGTGGTTGTGGATTTATACATTATTTATCATCAGAAGAAGCTCATCCAACTCCTGGTGTAAAGGAGAAATTAAGGCATGTAAAGACAGCTGTGAAATAATGAAAAGAAAGGGTTGACTCCCACAAGCAAATTTTAAAATAAATTTGGAAGTTCCTAACGGGGAGGAACAATGAGTAAAAACTCGTGAGACTTTACAAAGAAAGGATGAAGGAGGATTAATTCACAGTTCTCTGTCCCAGGAAAACGGGAAGATAAAACAACAACCCGGACTCCTCCTGTACAAGTGAGAGGACAAGAGGAAAATGTCACCTCAGTCACTCCCCACCCAGTCCTGACCACGGAGAAAGGCAAGGAAAGGAGCTCATTCATTGCACACAAGCACTGCCAGCGCTTCCCCAGCCCATTCCCACCCACATGAAGGCACAAAAGCAGAATACATTATTCTCCCAACTCCATTTTAATTAGTCAGTAGCAAAGAAACTCCAGGGCTCGTGCTCCCCTGTTCCACTTGTGTTGCATCTTAAGGGAGAACCACACCATAACCCCCCCACTCTTTCAGTTTAGGAGACCGTGGAGGAAAGAGGGAGCGTGGAAAAGCACAAACCCTTTCGGGTGAGATTTCACGAAATCATGGAATTGTTTGGGTTGGAAGAGACCTTAAAGCTCATCTAGTTCCAGCTCCAGGGATGCCACTCACTAGATCCAGAGGGATGGGTCTGGCAGCTCGCTCCTTGAGTTCATATTCCTTGGGAAGGAACTGGAGAGGGAGCTGGCCATCCTCCCCGAGGTGGGAAGCAGGATGCTGAGCGAGCATCTCCTTCTCCCCTTGGATCCTCGCCGCGTTTTAAAGGCGAAGGGAACAAGTGCACACGCGGGACCAGCATCCTCTCGGATTCCCGCTGCACGGCGAAGGAGAAGGAAGGAGATGCTCGCACAGAACACCTGGGTGGAAAAGGAAAGAGGAGAGGAGCGCGTGGATAGAAATGCGAAGGGAGAAGGATGAAGGACCAGCATCCCCTCCTCGGGATCCTGCACTACGGCGCGGGGGGAGCCCGGGACGAGCACCCCCGGCCCCGCAGGGAGGGACGGGCGGTGAATCCATCCCCTCCGCGGCGCTCAGCACCGGCATCCCCCCGTCCTTCTCCCGGGACGAGCATCCCCCGGTCCTTCTCCCGGGACGAGCATCCCCCGTCCCTGCGCTCCGCTCCGCCGCTCCCCCGCCCGCCCAGCGCTGCATGGCCGCCCCGCCAGCGCCTCGGCGGGCGGCCGCCCGTCCCCGCGGCCCAGAGGGCGGCACCCCCGCCGGGGGATGCCGCCGTCTCCCACCGCCCCGTGCCCGGTACCTGCCCGCGGGGGTCCCGCAGCCCCCGCGCTCCCGCCTTGTCCCTTCGGGTGGCGGCGGCGGCGGCGGCGGCAGCGCGCGCCTCCCCGCCCGCCCTGCCCGCCGCCAGGCCACGCCCCCTCCGCGCACATCGAGCCCCGCCCCCTTCCCCGCCGCGCAGCCAATCGGAGAGCGCCCGGCAGGTTGCTAGGTAGATCGGAACCCCCGGCCGGGCTAACCCCGCCGGGGGGGAGCTGATTGGCTGGCGACCACCCCGGGGTTGTCATGGCGACGGGATGCGGAGGGGAGGGGGGAGGAGGAGGAGGAGGAGGAGGCGGCGGCGTCCGAGGGAGGAAGGAGGAAGGTGAGGGGACACCGTGGGACACGGAGGGACGCGGGAGCCTTGGGAGAGTGTGAGGAGCGAGTATCACTGCAGTGAGGGGACACGGGGGGACAGGGGGGACACGGGAGCCCCGGGAGAGCGCGAGGAGGGGTGTCATGGCAGTGGGACACGGGGAGACATGAGGGGACACGGGAGGACTTGAGGGGACATGGGAGCCCTTGGGAGAGCGTGGGGAAGGGCGTCACTGCAGTGGGACACGGCCGAGCCCTGAGGGGACACGGTGGGGACAGTGGCACTGGCTTGGACCAGCCCTGGTGTGGCAGCAGGAGCAGGGAAGGGATTGTCCCCCTGTGCTGGCACTGCTGGGGCACCTCCAGGGCTGGGGCAGCTCTGGGGCCCTCAGACAAGAGAGACATGGAGGGGCTGGAGCGTGTCCAGGGAAGGGAACGGAGCTGGGGAAGGGGCTGGAGCAGCAGGAGCAGCTGAGGGAGCTGGGGGGGCTCATCCCGGAGAAAAGAGGGATCAGGAGGGACTTTTTCCCTCTCCACAACTCCCTGACAGGAGGTGGGAGCTGAGGGCAGTCAGGCTCTGCTCCCAGGGAACGAGGGACAGGAGGAGAGGGAATGGCCTCCAGCTGTGCCAGGGGAGGGCCAGGTTGGATACTGGGGTGGTCAGGTTGGATATTGGGGTGTTTGGGCACTGGCACAGCTGCCCAGGGCAGTGGTGGAATCCCCGTCCCTGGAAGTGTTCAAAAACCACGTGGATGTGGCCCTTGGGGACCTGGGTTAGTGGTGGGTAAATGTTGGACTGGTTGATCTCAGAGGTCTTTTACCAACCTGGACGATTCTGGGATGCTGTGAGGGGCATCTCCCACAGCGCAGGGAGGACAGGGAATAAAGGCATCATGCAAAGAGTATAAGCCCAGTAAATGAGTGGGAAAAGCACTTTGTATCCATGGACAAGTCTCAGCCTTGCTGGACTATTGATTTCACCCCCAGGTCCTTCTCCTCAGCTCTCCATCCGTTCTCTGCCCTCTGTTCCTGTGCTTGTTGCTGCTGCTCACAGCGTTTCTTCCATCATCCCACTGCTTATTTTTGAAATAATTGCAATCAAAATTGCTTCCCTGTCTTAGCTTGAGGCCGATTCCATTAAACTCTGTTTATTCCCAGCTGAACTCCTCGGATTTTCCCGTGGATTGATGTGACTGGGGAAAATCCGTCCTTAAAATTCTGAGTGGGCCGGGCTCTGTGCACCAGAAAGGCTCTTTGCTGTAGGGATGTGGTCAAAAAACATTAATAAAAGTGGGTCTGCTCCTGCAGGAGTTGTTTTGAATATGGTTTGCCCAAACCTCTGGAATGCCATTCCAGAGGGTTTAAGCAGAGATTAGCCCAGGTAAAGGAAATTATTCCCATGCCCTTAGTTAGTGGGATATGATCATTATGGGTTGTTAAGCTTTCTTCAGTGCAATCACTTGGGTTTTTAAACCAAAAACTTGACCCAGCTTGTGCTGAAATCGGTGAAAGTATTTCCAGTGGTTTCCGATTTAAATTGTCTCGCTGTTAGAACCCACCATTCATGTTTCCTGCCCTGTGGAATTATTCATCTTCTTCAAACATCACCAAAATCTCTTGGATCCCCACTCAGTGTATCCTTCCATCCAAGCTGGGAACCATTCCCAGGGACTCTGGCTGCAGTAACCGAGGCAGTTTTCCTCTTTTAAACCTTGTATAAACTCCTAAAAGTTGGACTTTCCTCAGTCTTCCCCCCAAATCTCTTCTGCACTGGTATTTACTATTCCTGCCACCTGCTCCCACATTCCCTTTTTATTTTTTCTGGAAGGATAAGAGGTGATTATTTTTTGGGGCATTGTGTGTCAATAGTTTTTCCTCCCTAGGTAGTGAACCAACACATTCCTTACATGTATTTAAAGCTTGATTCCCTGTTAACCTCATCCCATCTCTCTTGCTGGTGGAATGTTTTCGGATCAGCTGAGCTGGATGAATTTCATCCCAGGGTATGTGAAGAACAAGCTGGAGCAACCTCTGGAATGTTGTTTTGGGCAACCAGTCCAAAGATAAAGACTATTGCAGAAGAGAAGTGGGGCCCTGGCTGAAGTGATAGGACGAAGGGGAATGACTTTAAAGCAAAAGAGGGGAGATTTAGGTGGGATATTGGGAAGGAGTTCTTGGCTGTGAGGGTGCTGAGGGGCTGGGATGGAATTCCCAGAGAAGCTGCGGCTGCCTCTGGATCCCTGGAAGTGTCCAAGGCTGGGTTGGATGGGTCTTGGAGCAACCTGGGATCGTGGAAGGGCACAAAGATAAAATCACAGGATCATGGAATCATGGAATCTCCTGAGCTGAAAGGGGCTCACAAGGATCATCCAGTCCAAATCCTGGCCCTGTATAGGATACCCCAAAATCCCACTGTGTCCCTTAGAGCCTTGTCCAAACATTCCTTGAGCTCTGGCAGGTTTTGGAAGTGACCATTCCCTGGGAAGCCTGTTCAGGGCCCGACCACCCTCTGGGGGAAGAACCTTTTCCTGAGATCCAACCTAAACCTCCCCTGGAACAACTCCCTCGTGTCCTATAGCTGGAAACAGAAGAGATCAGTGCCTGCCCCTCACAGGGAAGTCGTAGCCAGGCTTTTTCCACACCCTGAGCCACATTTTTGGCACAGCAGGTGCACGAGAGGGTCCCGAGGCCCCGGGAGCTGCTCCCGTGCCAGCCCTCAGAGGTGCCCCGGGAATGTGGCCGCTCCAGCACCAAGAAACCACATCTGTGAGGGAAAACTGGGACGTGAACCCGGGGCTGGGAGTGTTCTGCAGTGCCAACTGGTGGGGTTGTGACTAATGGAGAGAGTTGTCCCTGAAAAACAGGACACGGTTGCCCGAACCTGTTTTTTTGGCAGAGGAGCTGTTTCTGTGCATTGGAATGGGCAGGGGCCTCGCAGGAAAACAAAACAAAAACAGCCCAGTGAGTGATGCCATCCCAAAGTGTATCCCAAAAAACACCTACTCAGTTGCACAAGAAGCCTCTGGCGTTGTCCAGCTGCAGAATTTGGGGCTGTGAAACCTCGGTGAGTCCTTTAGGTCTCAGTTAAAATTTCCATGTGCAGACAATATGTTCTTTGAGGACCTTTAGCCTCCAAAAAAAACCAAAAACCCCAAAAAAGAAAAAGCAGGAAGAACTCAGGCCCTTGTAATGACCTTATTTCCAAGGACTGTGTTACACCCCCAGGTGCAGAGAGGAAAAAGTAACAGGTTCTTCATTGGTTTTCCTTTCTGTTTCTTTGATTCCATAAGAAAAATTAACCATAAAAGTCACGTGCCCGGGCAGATCCTGCAGTGGGTTTTGAAGATTATTAATCCATTTATATATTGAGGAATTTTGTCTGGGTAAGGAATGGGGCCCTGAGCTTCCATGATGTGTCTCCTGAGCCTCAGAGCTGTATTAGCAAGAAATGTCCTTTTTCTGGGTGAGTTTTGAGGAGTTTGGGTTCGGGGCAGGCTGGAAAGACAATATGGGAGTTACTTCATGGATTTGCCTTTTCTTGTGTTCCAAAATTCCTGTTATCCATCTTTATTACCACGAAGCTTTAAAGCAATCTGAGGTATTTACAGGAAAACTGCCTAATCACTGTGTGCAGGAAACAGAGATATTTTTAACGTGGTAAAGGAATTATCTGGTTTTCAGGCTGCTGCAGTTTCAGTCTCCAGTCTGGGAATTGGATACTTGAGGTGAGGAATGGCATTATCCTGCTGAATCCACCTGAAGGATAGAAGATAAAGAAAAAAAAAAAACAACTTTTCCTACATTTGGGCAAGAATTAAAGAAGAAATTACTTTGGAGACAGTTGGACTTGGTGATCTTAAGGGTCTTTTCCAACCTTAGCAATTTTATGAAGTTAGTTAATTGGGAAGGGAACATTTTGTTAAATGACTGATTTGCTTCACGTAGAAATTTCAGTTTAAAAGAGCAGCACAGTCCCAACCATCAAAACCTGCTCTGCCTGAACACAGGACCCTGCAAGATTTCAGTCAGTTCTGAACCATTTGGGGTTTCATTTTTGTTTTCATTTAAGGGTTCCAGAAACAAATTTGAGCCCCTTTGAGACTTGGCACGATGTGCCCATCAAAACCAGCAGACACACCAGTTACCTCCAGTTTTCAGTCCCAATAACTGGAAAAGGGAATTTCCTGTACTTTCCAGCTTGCTGCAAGGACCCTGTTGTGATCATTCACACAGGTAAAATCACTGAGTTGTGCACACGGGGAAATCCCAGGATCCCAGAATGATTTGGGTTGGGAAGGGACCTTAAAGATCATCCAGTTCCACCCCCAACCATGGGCAGGGGGACACCTTCCACTATCCCAGATTGCTCCAAGCCCCATCCAACCCAGCCTTGGACACTTCCAGGGATTTTACTTCCTTCTGATGGTTACTGTGGGTACATAAAATAAAAGGCTTTACCCGATTTTCCAGTAATTTTCCTCGTGCCGTTGCTGTGCTGTGAAACCCCCAGATTCCTTCTTAAAATTATTTGCTTTCCGTGTAAAGGAACAGCACAGGGATAATGCTGGCCTTTGTTTTGTGTAAATGTTGTAGCCACTGGTGCTGACAAGAGGCTCCCCCCCCTCCTGCATCCATGGCATTTGCTCCTCCCAGGAACACGGATGGCTCCAAGCTGCAGATCAAGATGAGCACGTGGACCCCTCTGAACCATCAGCTCATGAACGACAAGGCAAGTTTTGTGCCTGAAATTCAGAGAGTCACGGGATTTTTGGGGCTGGGAGGGACTCTTGGATGATCATCCAGTCCAACCCCTCAGGGCAGAGTCAGATTTACCAGTTATTTGCTCAGGATCATGTCCTGGGTGTTGGAATAATCTCACGTCCTGGGTGTTGGAATATTCTCATGTCCTGGGTGTTGGAATGTTCTCATGTCCTGGGTGTTGGAATATTCTCATGTCCTGAGGTTTTGAATATCCTCATGTCTTGGGTGTTGGAATATCCTCATGTCCTGGGTATTGGAATATTCTCATGTCCTGGGTATTGGAATATTCTCATGTCCTGGGTGTTGGAATATTCTCATGTCCTGGGTATTGGAATATTCTCATATCATGGGTGTTGGAATATTCTCATGTCCTGGGCGTTGGAATATTCTCATGTCCTGAGGTTTTGAATATCCTCATGTCCTGGGTGTTGGAATATTCTCATGTCCTGGGTATTGGAATATTCTCATATCATGGGTGTTGGAATATTCTCATGTCCTGGGCGTTGGAATATTCTCATGTCCTGGGCGTTGGAATATTCTCATGTCCTGGGTGTTGGAATATTCTCATGTCCTGGGCATTGGAATATTCTCATGTCCTGAGGTTTTGAATATCCTCATGTCCTGGGTGTTGGAATATTCTCATGTCCTGGGTATTGGAATATTCTCATGTCCTGGGTGTTGGAATATCCTCATGTCCTGGGTGTTGGAATATTCTCATGTCCTGGGTGTTGGAATATTCTCATGTCCTGGGTATTGGAATATTCTCATGTCCTGGGTGTTGGAATATCCTCATGTCCTGGGTGTTTGAATATCCTCATGTCCTGCTGTTTGAATATTCTCCAGTCCATGCCAAATTCTCAGGCTCACTTCACAAATTCTCAAGCCCTAGAAAAATTTATTTTTTCGCCTGTGTAGGTCGTGATTAATGGAATAAGGCCCTCAAGGTTTTGTTCCTTTTAAACAAAAAAAAAAGTGTATTTATTTATTTCTTACTGAAAGTCCCCAAATCATTCTTTTTTTTTTTTTTTTTTTTTTTTTTTTTTTTTTTTTTGCACCAGATTTTTGGTTCCACCCCAGAGCAAAGTGAGTGTGAGTCCAAGTTTCTGAGTGGCCAGAACAGAGAGCTCAGTCCCCATCCCTGCCTTCCCAGCCTTCAGGAATGAGGCTGGATTGATATTTTGGAAGCGATGCACCAAGTTATACATAACAGGATGCATTTCCCAGCCTCCCACTCTGATCCTAAATCTGGGACCTGCTGACACCTCTGCTTTGGGCTCCTGCATCACCCTATTCCTCCCTCGGAATTCAGATTTCTGGTGATGATTCACAGGGTTTGATCCAGGGAGGGCCATCACCTCATGGAGTTTGGCTCCCTGCATTTCTTGGGCCCTCTTGTTTCACACAGTTCTCCCACTCCTGAGCTCAGGAACTGCAATTTATCTAAAATACATTTTCCACGAAGGGATCCAGGCTTCCTTTGGGGTTAAGGACACTCATTCCTTGCAAAACTAAAGTTTCATCACTTCCCTGCTGATCTTCTCATGATTAATCCCCTCTACCATCAAAAGGTGAAGCCCTGTCTCCTGTCTGAATACCTCCAGCATTAAGATTAATTTGATTCTTCCCTTTCTTGCTTATTAAACTCTTCTGCATCCAGCATTTTTCCCTTGTGGAAGGGCTTTTATCCCGCTTCAAGCCAACACTTGAATCTTCTCTGATAAACTAAACAGATTGAGCTCTTTGAAGTCCTTTCAATCTGGCACATTCTCCAGCCTTTGAATCATTTTAATGCCTGTTTCCTGCTTAAAAGGTATTTTTACAGCCACAGATCACTGTGCAATAAATTATGACCCAACTGGAAATAAGTAGGTGGGTAAAACCACATTTTCCCACCTTTTTTTGCCCCTCTCATCCTTAGGGAGCCAGAGGCTGCAGCAAAACTTTCAGGAGTTAATATTGGAGGCCTTTTCCAACCTTAAGGATTGTCTGAAATTCATAATAAAAAGTGTTTTCTTGTTTCTGATCCAGTTTTCAAAGCGCTGACCCGCCTGAAACTCCTTTTTTTTTTTGAACATCCCCGCAGCGAAGGCAGGAGAAAAACAGTTGCAACAAAAACAGTGCTGACGTCTGGAATGGGGAGATATTCCAGATTCCAAGTGATGTACAGGGAGCCGGGGAGGGAGAAGGTGCCATTTCTGTACAATCACACGTCTGCTCATCTCTGCACCCTCAGGAGAGGAGAGGATTTAGAGATGGGAAGCGTGTGACGAACGGGGAGAGAAGAGATGGGCGAGAAACGTGGGTAGAACAGGCAGTGGGGGGGGCAGGAATGGTGGGAATTCAGAGCTGCTCCAAGGCAGAAGCATCAAAACTCCATCCAAACCCTTCCTAGAAGCAGACCCGTGGATGGTTAATGCCGTAAATTTGCTACTGTCTGATTTTGGGTAATCCTGAGGGTACTCCATTAGTAGCTCCTGGAGACTTCCCTGGATTTTTAACCGTGCTCAAGAGCACACTCATCATGGAATTGTAGAATCATGGAATGGTTTGGGTGGGAGGGGACCTTTAAGACCATCCAGTTCCAGGGCAGGAACACCTTCCACCATCCCAGATTGCTCCAAGCCCCATCCAACCTGGCCCATGGCAGGGGTTGGAGTGAGATGAGCTTTAAGGTCCCTTCCCACCCGAACCATTCCATGATTCTGTGACTGTTCCAAAGCCTGGATCAGCATCAGGGACAGACCAAAGCCAAGGAGGCAGAGCTAGGAAATCTTGGATTATGCAGCCAGAAAAACAGAGGTGAAGTCTTAGATATGCCGAGGTTGTGCTGCAGCAGAGGATGAAGCAAAGGTGGGATTGGAGCATCCTGAAGATTTCAGCGTCAGTCTGGAGAGTGCAGGGCTGTGCTGCCTTCAGGGAAGGGCTGGAATTTGGGAGATGATTTGCCTTCCACTGGGGCAGATGCCTCCAGTGGCATTTGCAGCAAAGGCTGCAGGGCTTAGCCTAAGCCAGCCTTGATCTTGAGCTTATTTAAAACCACCCGAAGGCAGGGATGTGAGAAGGGAGATCTCGGGAGCAACCTGGGCCTCCAGCTGCATCCAAGGACAGCAGGAATAGGAACAGCTCCAAGGCCTCGGAGGAGAGGACACAAAACATGGGCTTGATGAAGGCAGTGGGTGATTACCCCAATTTGGGGCCATTCTACTGCTAATTAATGCTTCCAAGTGCCTGGAGAGGCAGAACTTTCTGCGGGGCTGAGCTCAGAAGTGTCTCCAGGAGCGCTGAAAGCAAATGTGTGTCTTTCTTTGATCAAAGACCATTAGCATTGCTCTGGGCTACATAAACATCTCCCCTGCTCCACTCGAATTCTCCGACCCAAAACTCAGATCTTTGACTATTCATCACTTGCTGGGGGCAAATCCTTTCCCAAGTTCAGCTTGTTGGCTTTGGGGTTGGTTGGTTTGGTTTTTTTTTCCGCTCGATGCTTTTTTTCCCCTTCTGACTTCACCGAGCCTCCCCCCCGCAAATAAAGCGAATCATAACTGTACAAATAAAAGGAATGTCATTTCCCAGCCCTCTCAGGAGACGCTCCTGCTGAGAGAGACAGAGCCAAAGCTGTCAACTGTGGCAGCACTGACAATGTCCTTCTCCGCAGGAACCCGCGAAGGGGGCTGTCACAGCAAGGACATCTCTGGGCTTTGTAATGATCAGCCACGTTTCCCTAGTCGTGCTTAATAGCTGTTTTATGTGCATTTATAAGCTGGGCTTTCCCCCTCCCTCTTTGATCTGCCTGCTGGAAAAATCCTTTGCAGCCTTTCCCCGCTTCCCAGGTCACACTCCTGAGCGCGGGGGCGGTTTCGTGGGAGCGGGGAGGCCACGTGTTGGCGCTTTTTCGGGTCCAGCTCCCCACGGATAAAGGTCAACATCATAAATCCTCGGCTGGGTTTTGATCCTGATCGTCCCCGCACTGTAAAGGGCCCAGGGAACAAAGACCGGGCTTGTTATCCCGCTCCTGACGGTTTCCCTGCCTGAGGATTGAATCCGTCGCCGGGGCCGCGTGAGAGTAGCTCGGGTTGTGGCCGTGTGAGGAGATTCCAGGCATCCAATGCCTCTCCAGGTCAGGATTAATGAAATTCCTAAAATAAAGAGGTGGGAAGGCAAAATTCTGGTCTGACCAAAGCACGTGAGGCACCACACACTGTATTTCCAAAGAGTTCCTGTGCTCTGGAGCCAGGATGAGAGAGCTGGGGATGTTCACCTGGAGAAGAGAAGGATCCAGGGAGAGCTTGGAGCCCCTTCCAGAGCCTAAAGGGGCTCCAGGAGAGCTGGAGAGGGACTGAGGACAAGGGATGGATGGACAGGACACAGGGAATGGCTTCCCACTGCCAGAGGGCAGGGAGAGATGGGAGATTGGGAAGGAATTCTTGGTTGTGAGGGTGGGGAGGGGCTGGCATAGGTTGCCCAGAGAAGTTGTGGAATCCACATCCCTGGGGGTTTGGGTTAGGAGTGACCTTAAAAATCATCTCATTCCACCCCATGCCATGGGCAGGGACACCTTCCACTATCCCAGGTTGCTCCAAACCTGGCCTTGGACACTTCCAGGGATGGGACATTGAGTCCAGGGGGGTTTCATGAGCACACTGATAACTTCCTGACACGGATCATCAAGGGACAATCAACAAGGGAAGAGGCTCTGCTGGACCTCCTGCTTCCAAGGAAGGAAGGAAGGGCTGGTTGGGGATGTGAAGGTCGGGGACCTGGAGATGACAGAGTTCAGGATACCGGGAGGGACAAAAAGCAGGATCACAGCCCTGGAATTCAGGGGAGCAGACTGAGGCCTCCTCAGGGATCCATGTGGAAGAATCACACGGGAGAGAAGAGAGGTCCAGGAAAACCAATCGATTCCCAGGCTTTAGGAATTCTTTCAGTGCTGTCCACCAGAACATCCTGGTAGATGAGCTGATGAAGTAAAAATGGAAAAGGAAGTGGACTGAAAACTGGGACACATCAGGAAGGGTGAAGGTGGCAGGCCAAGGGATATGGATTCTTCCCCTCTCCGCAGCGCTGGTGAGGACAGACCTGGAATGTTCTGTCCACTCCTGGGCTCCCCAGTACAAGAAATAACATGGACTTACCGGACCAAAGCCAGCGTAGGGCCACGGAAATGATGAAGGAATTGGGGAATCTGATGTTCAGGGAGGTTGTGGGGTCTCCATCCAAGAAGATACTCAAAGCTCATCTGGGTTTTGAAGCCTTTAGTTGATCCCATCCGGGAGTTCAGACTGAAGGATCTCCTCAGGTTTCTTCCAAACTCACCCATTCAGTTCTTCTCTTTCTGTTTTGTAGTTTGGTTTTTTTTAAGTTGTATTTTCCTCAGGACATATGGAATCCCCTTTAAATATTCCATTTGCTTTGTGTGTTTGTGTTTTCCAGGTATTTGAAGAAAGAAGAGCCCTCCTTGGAAAATGGGTAAACTTTTCCCTTTAAATATATATCTAAATACGGATAAATTTTGGGGCTGATCGAGGGATTATCTGACGGGGATGTAAAACTTACATCCTGTTTTGAAAAAGGGATTAATTTTCCTGATGGGAAAGTGAGCCATGGCCTGACAGAGGGTCTTTGAAATCTGTAATAAATGACATTTTATCTACCAAGTGCACACACAGAATCATGGGATGGTTTGGGTTGAAACTGGGGCTTATTCTTTATGGTTAATAAGCCACTAATGACATTTTTTTTTACATGTGGACTGGTCTTTATGGGCAAATATTTTGATTTTAAGGATTTTTTGGTCGTTATAGGAAATATTTCCATAACTTGTTGGCGTGAGTGCATTTTGATGATAAGGAATTTCAGAGACACCAAGAAAACTAAATAATTGAATGATTATTGTTCATAAAATACCTTTGCGTGTGATATCAGCAGCTGAGAGATCCAAACCCCTTGGAAATCCCTTGGAAATTTCTGGCAAAGGGGCAAAGATGTTTCTGTTAGAACTGAAAGAGCCAAAATGTGGGAAGAACATTTCCAGAGATCTGAGAAACCCCAAACGTGCAGCAGCTCTGCAGAAACTGCTGGGAATTCTGCTGGATCACCAAGTTGGACATGAGCTGCCAGTGTCTTACAATGGCAATAAGGGGGGAAATATCCCCAAGTCATTCCCAGTTCTGCTCCCTGCATTTTGGGAAAGCTGAGGACCAGCCGGAGACACTCTGAGAACAAGTCAAGATGTGAGAACAGACTCGGGTCCAGAAAATATGGAAACGATCCCTGAACTGAAGGGAAAATGGAGGAAAGATGTAATAACATCTAAGGATGCACAAAAGAGGTTCGAAAAGGGGAAGGGAATGATCTGATCCTTGTGTTCCCACTGGATGGGACAGGAAGTCAAGGGATTGAGTTGCAAGAGCGGAGACACGATTTAGACACGAGCAAAATCCAGTTCTACAGAAAATTCCTTGCTGGAATAGGTTGCCTAGGGGTGGAATCTCCATCCCTGGAGTCCTTTGAGAACAGGTTGGATGAACACGGTCAGGAATGGTTTAGGAAGAGCAAATCTGAACCAGCTCAGCATTCCTCAACCTTTCCCACTGAAGGACCATCCAGCCTTCTGAAAAAGCAGGCGCTGGGTCTCCAACAAATCCCTCCATCGGGGAGAAGATGGTTGGGGAAGGAGGGGGAAATTGCTTCTCCATCCACTTGGCAAAAGAGCCTCGTTGAGTGGAGAATCCATTCCCACTTTTGGGGGTGCCTGTGGATCATAACCCCTGACCTCAGGTCCGGGTGCTGGGCTGGAGGTGAGGATTGTGTCCCTTCCCAGTTCCAGGCAGGGAAACACTCGTGTCCCCCAGCAGAGAGGGGCCTCTCTGGGATAAGCTGCAGGCCCGGGGCTGGCCCTGCGTGTCAGGCTTCCCGATTTGTGTGTGTGCACTCAGGGATTAATTGTAAACCGATCCCAGGAGCGGGGCCCGAGCAGTGCCAACACTGATGTCACACCATCCCTGGGGAGACATTGTTTGC